CAGATCACAGTCAGCTAAAGTGGCCTGCAGTACTGCACCCTAACCACTGCGCCACCTCGGCTCCTTATTTAATAAAATATTAAATTTTAATATTTAACCATTTTAAATGGTTTCTGAGATGCAAACAGGTTAATTCAAAGAGAATCAACAAGAAAACCATTCTGGTGGGAAATATATTTTTTTATATTTAAAAACTATCAATTTGAAACCAAAAACAGCCACTTAGAAAACTCATGTCCACTGTCTGAACTAGCTCAATCTGACACATAGCTAAGCCTGCAACAAAATTCACTTTAAAAAAAAAATTAAAAATAGTAGAGCACTTACAAACTATGTGGATTCATCAGGCTTTGTACAGTAGCACACCGTTCTAATTGACCCTGCAATATTGCAGAATAGAAACACAAAATCAAAACTATTTACCTGTCTATGTCTTGCAATGATCTGGAAATCCTGATGAGGTGACCTTGGCATGAATTAAAGCCCCCTAAGGCAACATCCAGGAGAGCCTCAAAACCAAACATAACAGGAATGTAGGGCAGCAGAATAAGAAGTCTGTTTAATCAGCCTCTAATCTGCCAGGTTACTTTCCCCATATCATATGAAATCACACACACACAGAAATTCACACACACACGCACACACACACACACACACACACTTAGTGCCTGATATAAAATTATATGATAGAGTATGCATATAAAATCTTGCTTAACAGTCAAACATTAACAGTCAATCAACTAACCTTTATGGAAACTTGTTAAATACATGCTAAAATTTGGTGAAGTGGCTTATATTCTACTTTGTGTAGTGTTTATATATTCCTTCACTGTCCCTGTTGCTACAAATTCCACCTCTATATGTTAAAATTCAGCATTAAAGTCTAATACCCCATAACCAAAAAATAAACTTGCTGAATAAATCTTACGCTCCTTTGATTCTCATTACATCCCCATGTAACCCCTGAAAAGATTCCCTGGTAGATTAAAAGATCTACCAGATATGGTAGACTGCATCCTTTAAGTCTGAGTGGGAGAGAGTAAAACAAATGTTGCAATTGAGATGCAGTATGTCTTATCTGTATTAAAAGCATGAAAGAATACACTCAGTCTCTCCATTCTCAGTTGTTTAATTGAGATAGACATTGTTGGAGGTTTTTTCAGAACCAATATAGATCTACAGGTAGTTCTCAACTTACAATCACAATAAGAACTGGAAAATTGCTCCCAATTTTGTCATCTTTTTCTTGTAGTTGTTAAGTGGGCCTTATGGTCATTAAGTGAGACATCGCATGATTGCAACTGGTAACATTCCATGCTGGCTTCCCCATTGACTTTGCTTGTTGGCAACTATCTTGGAAGGTTGCAAATAGTGATCATGTGACTGCAGGGACACTGTGCAAGTTGTAAGTCATTTTTTTCAATGCTCTCCTAACTTCGAAAAGTCTCTAAATCAGGGGTGTCAAGGTTGGAGTGTCACCTCATCATGTGATGTATCACAACTTTACCCCCCCCTTTGCTAAATAGAGTGGGCGTGGCCAGCATGTGACGAATCTGACCCGCAGGCTGCAAATTTGACACCCCTGCTCTAAATGAATAGTCAAAAGTTGAGGACTTCTTGTAATGGCATTTGAATGAAAGAGGAAAAAATTATGAGTTTTACTTCTGTTATAAATTGTTGAAGAAAGTGGAGGCATCTAATCAGGGCAAAGGATGGTTGCCTATTTATCTCCCCTTTCTTTTGCAGAAGAAATACACACAAAGCCAAACTGTGTGAATGTTGCACCTAGTTTTTATTTCAGAGTGTTCCCTGGTGGTGGGACTGAGAGATGAGGAATCTATATCTGAAAGGAAATCCAATTGTTTGTATATATAAGCCAGTGGTGGGTTTCAAATTTTTTTAGAACCTCCTATGTAGGTGTGGCCTGCTTTGTGGGAGTGGCTTGCTGGCCATGTGACTGGGTGGGCTGAAAGACTGTGGCAGACTTCTGTAGGAATGTTGTAAAATGTGGTGAAACTCACTTAACAACGCTCTTGCTTAGCAACCAAATGTTGGCTCAGAAACTCTGGCATTTGAAGCCCACAAGTCTTAAAGCTGTCAAGTTACAAGACCCTTGCACCTCTAACCCTTTAGAACAGGGGTGTTCAAATCTGACAGCTTTAAAATTTGTGGACTTCAACTCCCAGAATTCCTCGCTCTTCATCTTGATGATGTGCGGACGGGCAGGGGGAGGAAGTTGGAACTGGTTCTAAACAGCACTGTAGATTTGTGGAACCTATTCTATAGAAGAGGTTAGAACTGGCAGGAACCCACCCCTGATATAAGCCCTCTAAAATGGATTTCTATTAAAAACAATAACAAAAACAATTGCTGAGACAAGCTTCTATATGGTTTCTATGTAACATTAATCTCAGCCTTCAAATACTCTCAATTGCATGAATAGAGTGAATTGGATATTTGGCCAAAATGTCTGCATAATTAACTGCCTCTGTTGAGTTTTTTGCTTTATTTTCTTCTAAAGAATTGTGGATTTAAATTGATAAGCAGGTGACTAACGTTTGTTTTTATTGATTTTATTAGGAAATAGCTTACAGGCTGTCTAGATGTCTTCAAAAAGAGGAAAATCCAAAACTGAGAAGCAGTGTCCATCACGGCACAGCAGTGGTGGCAGCAACACTATCTTCTCCTTCATCTACCGACGAAGAAGATGAAAGGGTAATGTTTTATTTGAAACGAATGACTAAAAATATTATTGTAGATATAAAAGAATGGCAATTTGGAGAGATATGCTTTAAGTGTATGCTGATTAATTCAAACCAGAATTAATAAATTAGAAAGTAGTAGCTCCCAATTAACGGACAAGCAATCACATACTGTAATGCTATAACAAATTTACAGAAAGCTAATCAAATGTTATGAACCAAGCTTACATACTTGGAAACACAATCATACAAAAGCTTTGCTATGAGCTGCTATTCTACTCAGCCCGCATTTCATAAGAGCATCAGTGGTCCTCACTGAGTATATTCCCCTACATGAGTTACACTGCACAAACTCATAAGCACAGTTTTCCATCTTCATTCAGTATTATAGACAGAATCTTGGTTCCTGATGAGGTGTCACTTTATTATCAGATCTTCTAGGTAAGAAGGTTGCTACTCTACTAGTTGCACAAATCACAGAGATAGTGACAGAGAATTTGTGGCCAACTTATAACTGCAGTTCACTGAACAGTCATCCGTGAATCCACACAACTGACCCTTCTACCTTGCTTGATCTCATATGATCTCACTATTCCAGATGTATTGTGTTGAACTTAGAAACTGAAAATATTCAGTGGGTGCTGCACCTAGGTCACTTGGTATGTGTATAAGACAAGAATTTTCTACAGCAACATGTTGCCTATGTGAATGGAGTCATAGGTGATCATTCAAAGAAGTGTAATGATTGATAGAGAGAGAGATAAATAAATAAATATTGTATTTTTCAGAGTATAAGACGCACCAAGGTTTTGAAGAGGCAAATTTTTTAAAAAAGTAGGTAGCTAGATAGAGGGATAGAGAGGGAGAGAAAGAGAGAGAAATACAGTAGGTAGGTAGGGAGAGAGAGAGAGAGAGAGAGAGAGTAGTTAGATAGGCAGGTAGATAAAGGGAGAGAGAGAGAGAGAAATAGAGGGAGAGAAATACAGTAGGTAGGTAGGGAGAGAGAGAGTAGTTAGATAGGTAGGTTGATTAAGGGATAGAGAGAGAGAGAAATAGAGAGAGAGAGAAATACAGTAGATAGGTAGGTGTTTCTGCTGGCACAGCACTTGATCAATGTAATTCTCATCAATCAGTTAAAGAGCTTTCCAAAAGGGGAAAAATAGTTTTTGCACTCTGCAAACCTGCCCAAAACTGCCTGTTTTTCACGAAAACGGGCCCTTTTTTTTCAAAAAAGAGGCATGAATAGGGAGACTATTGGGGGGGGGCTTGCAGAGTGCTCCTGGGTGGACAAAAATGCGCAAAAAATGGCCCATTGTTTGCAAAAACAGGCCCGTTTTTTGTCAAAATAATTGCATACATAGTCTTATGGAGGTTTATAGAGTGCTGCTGGGGGCTGGGGGTACAAAAAACAGGTCGTTCTTTGCTCATTTCTGCCCCCTCCCGCCCCCAGGAACTCTCTGAAAGCCTCCATAAGGCTATGCACGGCCATTTTGGTGAAGGGGTGGGGCTTGAGGAGGGAAAAAAGCCTGTATTCGATGTATAAGATGCACCCAGATTTTCAGCCTCTTTTTTGAGGAAAAAAAGGTGCATCTTATACTCCGAAAAATACGATAATCCTTCAAAAAGCTCAGAAGCATCAGGAGTTGGGTTTAGTAAGAGTCAAATACTTTTTCTGACCACAGGAAGATAGTATGGCAATGTTCCTTCCATCCCAAAAAGGTAGCGAAAGAAAGAAATGCTCAGTATCACATTAAAAGTTCTATTTTCTATTTGCTGCCAGAATATTGGGAAGGTATTCAAAAGCCTGAAGCCATTAAACATTTTTTTTCTGGCTTTATTCAAACTCCATTTCCTTATGAAACTTAGAAGTGTGTTGAAAAAATGCTTAGCAGAAGTAGTTCATTTTTTTTAATTAAATAGCTGGAGGAATCTCTGGGGAGAAGGAACATATTAACAGTTATCTGGATCAGAAGAAGTTGTTAAGGGTTTTTTTTAGGAGAGGGGTGGTTTCACCTATTTTTTGACGTCCCCACCATCCCCCCTCTAGTTTGCAATTGTAACAATAATTACTCTCCTTTGAAACTTTATGGCCTATTCAAAATTGTAAATGTTGGTGTTTTAAAAGGTAATTTTTGCAATCATGATTTTTTTTTAAAAATAACTGTATGCTTTGAACATTGTTTTTTTATGTTTGTGTGTGTGTGTGTGGTATATGTATGTGTGGGTGAGTGTATTTATCTCTTGGAATTAGTGTGTTTTTGAAAGTGTGACTTGGTACATTAGGGATCTACAGAAAATATAACAATCTAGGGCTTTTTTGTTTTTCTTTTTCTTTTACAAGCTTAAGAATAATACATTTTTGCAAGAAATACATCTGTATAATAAAGAGATAGAATGACAATGTTAACACACAATGGGTTGACCCAAGCACAGACACTTGAAGCCTTATATAGAATGCCCAACTGAACTCCAACTTATGTTGACAGAACTAGAATAAAAGTGTCACATTCTGCTAACCCAAGAGGAAACAAAGTTAAGGCTCCCAGCTGGCCATGTTCAAGAAACTAAGATGTGAGAAAATGAATGAAGTTAAATGTAATGTAAGAGTTTTGATAGGCAGGTGGTTTAGTGAGGTGATAAAGGTCATTCTGAGAATCCATCATTCTGCTTAACTCATCTTCTCAATCTCCATATATGGAACTACAGTTGTCTGCAATAATACACAATTCCAGGATTACCACAGAGACAACAGAAGAGCCATTTACTTGCAAAGTACTTTGTAAGGCTCTTTTGTAGGTTCCTAATTCAACAGGGCTTCAAACCAGATCCTTGTTTTAATTCCAAGATCTATTCCAATGAGGGGATTCAATGGAAACTTTGCCAAATTGAGAGAAATTTTCACTTCATGAGAAGTAGAGGAAGAAATAATGTTAAGAGAAATGGGACCATTAGTTACAACTATTCCTACTTTTACTTCCTCTAACACAGGGGTGTCAAACTCATGGCGGCGTCATGTGACATATGGGGACTTTCCCCCCTTCACTAAACCATCTGGCCTTGCCCCCCCCCCCCGAATTTGACAGCCCTACTCTCACATTTGCATTTGTAGCCTACATTGGCAATCCCAGAAATGTGGAAGGCTTTTGCATTCAAATAGGTGAATCAAAATGATGTGACTTTCATGGGCTTCAGATTAATAATTTCAGAAGCTATGGGGAGGTTATAGTCTCAATTTGCTATTTGTTTTGAAAAGGAAAGTTCATATATGAAAGACATAGAAGTGAAAAACTTGCCACGAGTGGATCAATACAATAAAAATTTTACTATTACAACATATTCCTTTCTATTCAGGTAAAGGCAACATTAGATAAAGTAATCCCCTGAACATGATAGATTTTAAATAGAGTTGGGTGAAGTTTTTTTTAAATCTGGCTGGCCATCCTTGATGCTTAGGAGTTACCATGTTAAGTACCAGAAGACCTTGGTACCCAATTTATAAGTAACAGCTGATGTTTTTGGTACTTGACATGGTAATTCTTCCATTATCCCTTCCATTGTAGCTTGCATCCCTTGCTATATAAAATAATTATGTATGATGTATTTGACATGTGGATTGTTTCCCTGGACTTCCTGTGTGCCTGTTAGACTCATTTTACCCAATGACTCTTGCCATGCTGAGCTCTGAATCCGAATGTGGGTACTTTCTGAGGACCTTTTGGGGGGTGGGGGTTGAATAAACACATTTAGAACTCGCACTGTGTGTATGTGTGAGTGACAGAGATGGGAGGGAGCGGGGCAGCACAGCAGGTATGGTGCAGGTCCAAGACTGAATCTGATTAAGTATGATCCAGGCAGAGACATAAGATCTCTTCCTTGATTAGAATGGTGTAGAAGAGAAGCTGGGGCTATTCCTTGATTCTCTCCATGAAGAATCACCAAAAGAATCCTGTTAGATAATCAGAAGAATGACCTGATCTTTATTAGTTCTGATAGCACTCAAATACATTAGCAATTAAAAGTTTCATAAATAAAATCTGTTTGGTTTGTATTGTATTTATATTATTTGAATAATACTGTAACTTTAGTAGTTATTAAAATCTGTCTGAACCCATTAAATAGTTTATCTCCAACGAATTAGAGAAGCTCTTGGATCTATCTGAACTATTACTGATAAATGGAAGCCTTCCCCAAAACTAAATATAAAGACCCTCCCGCCCCCCAGACTCTGTGCTGCCAGTTATTTCTTGCAGACAAGAGTTTATTCATACTGCTTTACAAAGAGGCAGTAGCGAAGCCATTGCTGAAGAGTCACTGCCAATTTGAAACATTTTAATATATGCAATGTGATGAAGAAAGTAGTGGCCTGCCACTCCCAATTTTTAGGTCAAGGAGTTACACATTCTGTTTGACATGTACAAATTCTGTGTGATATGCTGAAGCTCATAAAACAACATTGGTCAGGATCATATTTCATTTTACTGTTTTAATTTAAATTATGTTATTATTTCCAGTTTTCTATAATAATAACATTAAAATTATCAGAAGCTTGGGCTGTTATTTTAATCAGTAGCTATATTGAATCTTTCTCTCTTTATCACCCTCCCTCTATCTCTTTTGGCTTATATCTCCCTCTACTGATAAAGAGAAAATAGTGCAACGTTTGGGTTGTGTGTGTGTGTGTGTTTTAAACAGATGGAAGTGGAACTTGAAGAGAGAGGTTAGCAGAGTAAGGCTACTTTTTCTACCATGCTTAAACCATCCATGTTGCCATTTAATCTCATTCAAACATCAAAATGCAAAAAATTGAACCATTATATTTTATGCATTCCAAAGGGCTCAAGATCCTTACACCAAACCCCTACATGCTATGCTGTTTGCACTCTTGAATTGAATGAATGGATTATCTAGCAATAGCAATAGCAGTTAGACATATACCGCTTCATAGGACTTTCAGCCCTCTCTAAGCGATTTACAGAGTCAGCATATTGCCCCCACAGTCTGGGTCCTCATTTC